AGGCGGCGCAACTATAACGACATGTGAATAATCCCACCCACTCTAAAGCGGTACTAAACTGCAGTGGAAACGCAAACAGAGCCAAACCGAGCCGTGCCGTGCCGTACTGAGCCGTACCGAGCCGAGTCGTACCACGCAGTGGAAAAGCGCCATTAGTTTATGTCTATGGCAATTCACGCAGGTATGCGTTACTCCGCAGCGGTGACGACCCAACCAGGCTACAATAGTCCAAATATAAGTACTTATAATAAGTGTACCGTAGTGATTCGGAATAAGACAAAAACGCAGTTTGGAAGATTAATTCATGATGTACTTGCTAATTATCGTTACTCCGCAGCGGTGACGACCCAACCAGGCTACAATAGTCCAAATATAAGTACTTATAATAAGTGTACCGTAGTGATTCGGAATAAGACAAAAACGCAGTTTGGAAGATTAATTCATGATGTACTTGCTCATTATATACATTTTGCTAATTTTGAACAGAAAAGGTTACATAGTAACGTAGTAAGGTTACATACTGCTTTAATGGACGGAACATTGAAGGACACTTCCCATCCAATAAATCGCAATAAGCATTGTACGTTGGTACTTTTAATATGAAACAAAGTCTCAGATTTTAAATTCTGTCCATTGTATTGCAGTATTCAAACAATAAATGCCGTTTTGGCTAGGGATGCATCGATCCAATACTCAGGATCGGTATCGGCTCCGATACTGACATTTTCTGCCGGATCGGGTATCGGTCCGACGAACTGATCCAAATCCGATATTGTGCTTATACTATTGTTATTGTTAAGCCCCACGAAAGCATAAACACATTATAAAGCACCATAAATTCAAAGTCCAAGTGTTCTGAAGCTGTTCCATAGTTCAGTGTGAGGTACAGATGAATATTTAAGTCATTAAATTCAAGTTCACGTAAACTCTTCTCTCCACTGCGGCTGTCTGTCATCCTCCCATTCAACATTAAAATTGCATGTCGCGTTTGGTTACGACAGTAAATTAGGGTCTTAAGACGATGAAACTCTTTCCAAGAGCGCACAATAACTGTTTGAGATTTAAATCTGTAATGAGATTTAAAGCTGTTAAAAGAAAAGGCTCAATATACTATCGCACAGATTTAATAAACTATGCATCAATATTTCTTTCCTTTGTGCTTTGAACTTCTCTATGCGGAGCTGCGCACTGTGACTCCATGTTGCTTCAAGCGCATCATTCAGCGCACGGTTTGCGCATAAGTGCTTTGTGCCGCTCTGTTTTGGAGCTTTTTGTATTATATAATACTTTTGCGCAATGAAAGATTTATAGCGTTTCTTGTTTTGTCCTATAAGGCTATTAATAATCTAATCTATAGCACAGTAATGGAGGCTGCAACATATGATAGATAGGACTCCTCTATCATATGTTGCTGCCTTCATTACTGTGCTATACATTTAAAAGAAATATCTTTTAATTTTATAGTTTATATTTATATATAAATACATTTACTTGTTTTCATTAATGTATTTTACAAAAATACAGAGAGCATTGTGTAACATTTTACCAGATTTAGTCCTACACTTATTCACTTTTATTTGTTCCCCACTAAATAATATTTTACTAAATGTTTAGATTTTATAAAATTGTGCACTCATGATTTTTCTAGAATAAATTTGCGCCTAAATTATCCACTAACCTAGTTTATAATAGTATTTTTGTCATGGATTATTATATATTTTTTCATTTGTTATTTTTCATTAAAATGAAGTTGTCTATATTTAGTAGATTGTGTTTAACACACAAAAAAGTGACGATCAGGTCAACACACAGATGTATAGAAATTCTACACTTATTTAAGAAAAAAAAACTGTGCTCGGATCGGAATTGTCCGATACTCAGAATTTTCTGGATCGGATCTGAGAAAAATGATATTGTTGCATCCCTAGTTTTGGCACTGTTTAATGTGGAGTGGCCGCTGTAGCGCGGCGCGCCTCAGTTCAATAAAAGTGGCAGCACGAGACACGTGAACTGATCATCTCCTCCACATTAATACCTGTTTCAGCACAAAATAAACATGACTAAACATCCGAAGGTAAGTTAAAAGAAAGAGTACAACTTTACAATCCGTATCCTGTCTCATGCAATCGCTCAATCAGTGTTTCAGCCGTCAATATAACGTCTTGTAAACAATGTCACGTAACATCACATTTACCTCAGAAAAACAAAACAAATTCGGTGACCATAAACTCATTAATCAATAGAAAAATAAACTGTAGAGAGGAGCATTTTGCTAAATATATGCACCATATAATATATTCATTATAACTTTTACTGTTCTTCAAAGTTTAATAAAATTTATGATAGCCACCATTTAAATGTTTATATTTAAAAAAACTAATTGAAGTAGAAATATGTAATTGTAACTTTTATTATAAAAACTTAATTCAGTGTAATTTAAGCAGTTGTATAGCCTAAAAAATCAGTCAGTTTTAACCTTCAATATTATAGTAATGTAGTACCAACTGACTCGTGTATATTTTACAGCATTAGTTGAGTTTTTTTTGTTCTGGTTGGTACTGGTTCTGTTTTTTTTTGTTTTTTTTTCTTGAGAAAATTTTGCATGTATACCAGATATATATCCAAAATAATCAATATCAAATTGGGAATCGAATCGCAAGCTTGTGAATGAGAATCAAATCGAATTGTGAAATTTGTGTCAAAACCCAGCCCTAGAATTGTGAAATTTGTCAAAACCCAGCCCTAGTTTTCAGAGTTTGATGTAAAAAAAAAAAAAAGAAAAGGTAATTTTTTCTTTTTCTTTTTTCAACTTGTTACTCGCCATGAAAATAGTAAAGGAAGTTGGCATGGCGTTAGAACACTAACCAACCAGACCTGTGATACACATACTTGTTCTTTTGCTTCAGATGATGGCTCCACACCAGAGAGGATCGCTCAGATTATGGGGCCTCCAGACAGGGCACAGCACGCAGCCGATATCATATCTGACCTGCTGAGGAGTGTGCAGGCTGGAGGCCCTCCTGGTCACGGGGGCAGAGGGAGGGGCCGTGGACAGGGAAACTGGAACATGGGCCCTCCTGGAGGCCTGCAGGAATTCACTTTCACTGTGCCTACCATGAAGACTGGCCTCATTATCGGCAAAGGTTAGTTGTTGATATTTGCTTCCCTTTAAAGTGATATGCAATTTTTACATGACCTAAATTGATAATGAATGAACATTGATAATTTATTCTTTTTTTCCCTCTAGGGGGTGAAACCATTAAGAACATCAGCCAGCAGTCAGGAGCCAGGATAGAGTTACAAAGAAACCCTCCACCTAATTCGGACCCTAATATAAAGATCTTCACAGTCCGTGGATCACCCCAACAGATTGATTACGCCAGACAGCTGGTCGAGGAGAAGATTGGAGTGAGTGCCGTGATTTCCACTATGCCTAACAAATTATTTGATAATTTTTTGGGTTAACATATTAATTGGTTGTCTTTCCAAAATGTTTCTCAGACAGAATTTTCTCTCAATTTATTTATTGCTTATTGCCTGATTTATACTAAAAATTATTTTGGTTTGTATTAGGGTCCCGTTAGCCCTATGGGTGGCCCTCATGGTCCACCTGGGCCCCATGGAGGTCCTACTCATGGCCCTGCCGGTCCACCAGGACCAGCTGCTCCCATGGGCCCATACAACCCTGGGCCCTATGGCCAGGGCCCTCCTGGACCACAGTAAGGACTTTCTGCTTCATGATGTTTAGCATGTGTCAGTGTTTTCACTTGGTCTTTAGTTGACAATTCCTCTTAAGATGAACTTAGTGTATTTTATTCTTATCCTCAGTGGTCCTCCAGCACCATACCAGCCTCAAGGCTGGGGCAACGGATACCCCCACTGGCAGCAAGGTCAGCCAGACCCCAGTAAGTGCTCGTCCCATAGCTGTGCTAACTAGGGTTGGTTTAGAATTAGGGTTGGGTACCGATACCCGGTGGCAATATGGCACCGGTACCTTTATGACTGTTATGTACCAAACTGAATCAGAACACAGATTTTGGTGCCACTTAAATGCCTGAGCTGTCGATTGAACTATTTGCAGTAGGTAGCCTACCGTTAGCTAGCTACATTAACGTGCTTAAATTGAAATGCCTAAAACTAAACTTCCCTTGTAATGATTTGCAATAAGTGTTTCCAATCTAAACCTGCTGTCCAACAAAAGAGAACATTATAACATGTTTTTACTCCATAACATCAGTCAAATGCTTCCTTTTGTGATCTGATGTGACTTCGTATCACAGAATTATGCAGGAAATATATTGTATACTGTAATAACGGCATGTCGATTAGCAATGGATTATAAATATACTTATGAAAATACCAGAGATGGCTTGAAGAACAGATAAACTATACATTATTGCAGTCAAGTGTTTGTCTACATTTTTCATAATTCAAAATGTTTCTATCTTCTTTTTATTCAGTCACAGTGATGGCTGGATGCCTTAGTTTATATTAGGAATTTCTGGAGTGTCATGAGTTCTATTACTTCTGTGATACATATGTGGAGTTTCTGCGTGAGGGCGACCTCAGGCTTCCAGTACAAATGAAACCGACATTACATGTGTTTATAGTGCTCAATGTCCAATCCATCCTATTTTGGGTAAAAAAAGGGAAAAAAAATAATATTTCTCTCAAAAGAAATTTGAAGTAGACATATCATCATCCATGTTTTTCTCCAATGTACAGAAGGTTTTTTTTATTATTATTATTATCACTTTTTAAATCACAAATCGCAAAAAACACTCTGATGTGCCAAGCCACCAGAACCAAGCCGAAAACTGTGGTTTTGAATAGTGAGATAACTGTATTGTTGCATCCCTACCAAGAATACTGTCTACTTTCCTGTTATTTATTATTGTAGTTGGGTCAGGTGGCTTAGGTTTTATTGTAAATGTATTTAAATTAGTTGGGTTTTGTATTTACTTATATTTATATATTTCCGTATAATCCAAACTTTTAATATATCGTTTAATTTAAAGATTATTATTATTATTTTTTAAAAAGAAAAAAAAAATGTATGTCCTCCGTTGTGGCTCTTTTTTTTTTTTTTAATATAAATTGTCGGTTCAGGCACCGTTTAGGCACTGGTACCGTTTTAAAAGTATAGATTTGGCATCGTTATTGTAAAATACCCAAACGATACCCAACCCTCTTTAAAATGGTATTCTGATTCTCCGCAATGCTAGTTAGAACTAATGCAGCTTCAGTTGTCTGTTGGAGGAAAAATAAAATGGGCTGTTGTTTGTTCTGCAGATAAAGCAGCGGCTGATGCTAATGCAGCTGCATGGGCAGCCTATTATTCTCAGTACCAGCAGCAGCCCCAGGGCCCCATGACTCCAACTTCAGCAGCCCCTGGCACAACCCAAACCAACGGACAAGGTGCAATTCATATATATATTTTTTTTTACCTGCACTCCACAAAACTCCCTCCCTTCACTCTAGATCTACTGTTGTCTGTTGTACAGTAGTACTTAGTAGCCTTTCAGTGTAGCCATCACTGCACAGTACAGTGTTGCTTTTCTAATGGTCTTTATACGTTGTTCTGGGATGGCCTTTTTCGACTAGCATTCATGGACAGGGCATTTTCTGAGACACTCGACCTGCTTGTGCAAAGTGCGCCACCTAGCCAGGTGGAGGACTTTCTGCAGCCTTTGAAAGAATGGTTCTCAATTTCTCAAATTGTACCATTTTTAACAGGTGACCCACAAGCTCCAGGTCAAAGTGGACAGGCAGATTACACCAAGGCCTGGGAGGAATATTGCAAGAAATTGGGTATAAATATTTTGCCAAATGTAGCTTGAGGTTATTTTATTTGAGAGATCAGGTTAAATAGCAGCAGGGCTTGAATTGCCAATCAGTCCTGTTTTACTTTTGGAGTCTAGCGGGGCAAATTAGTGCGTGAGTTTTGTCTCTGTTGCTTGTCCACAGAAATATTGGTCTCAAACCCTGCTGTTCAGAATGAGGAGCTGTAGTGTCTCAGATAGAATAGGATTACCACACTGAAAAACCATGAATGAGATTATACTGCTCAGTTTTGTATATGTATGTAATCAGGGTTTGAAATTAACTTTTTCACTCACCAGCCAATTTGGCTACTAAATTAAGTTACCGGCCATTCATAATTTCTACTAACCCAAAAAATTAAACTAATAAATATTGAAAAAAGGCCGGAGGTAAGCCAACAGCTTGAGGCTGTCCACACTGGATGCGACACAGTGACCATTGCAAATCATTTGTACTTTGTCAAACAGTAGGCCTACGTCATAAATAGAACGAGGCATCAGTTTACTGTCGGGGATTTGTCATGCTGTGCTGCGCCACATCCAGTGTTGGCCGCATCACTGATTATAATGGGTTCTATATTATTTTGTCGCGTCCGGTGTAGACAAGCGTTTTTTGACTTTTCATTATTGCTTTAATGCAAAGGAAACCAGTGCGCCCGCCACGCCATTATTTGTTGCGTAGTGACGTGTACAGGGCTGGACTGGGGTTAAAATTAGGCCCTGGACAAATCCAGCCTATCCAGCCCTCAAGTTCCCCTGTGAATGTTTTGCTGTGTTATAGGGCCTTCAATTGGAGTAAGTAAATAAATGACAAAAACAAATGTTATATTACTGAATTCACAGCAAATGCAACAAACTAATAGCCTACTGCATTTTTGTCACATAGAAATGCACTTGACAGTATAAGCATTGATTTTGTGCTAGAACATAGGAAATTTACTGCTAATAAATGCTGTCATCCTTTCCTCACCCTCATGTCTTTCCAAACCTGTATGACTGACTGACTGACTTCTGTAAAACACAAAAGATATTTTGTAGAATGTTACCAAACCATTTTGGTTAACCTTGATTTCTACTGTATGCATGGACAAACATTTCTTGAATTTCTCAAAATATCTTTTATGTTCAACAGAAGAAAGAAATTCATACAGGTTTGGAATGACATGATGCTGAGTTGCCTAAATGATGACAATTTTAATTTTTGGGTGAACTGTCCCTTTAAGAACTTTAATATTTGTAAATAGAAGACACCTAATTTATAAGTGTCTCTAAATTACAGAGACACTGATATTTATCTTTAATCAGGCTCTTACTGAATTAACATTTTGCTTAAATTAAAATTAATTAGAATGAAACATTTAAAGAGAAATAAGCTATTAAAGTTTGTTTACATGCATTTTACCTTGTCGTGGCTGTTTTCAGGCAGAACCTTTAATGTTGTCATATCACACATAGGGATGCGCCAATCTGATATTCATATCGGGTATCGGCTCCGATAGTGCCATTTTTCTCGGATCGGGTATCGGTCAGAGAGGGCCGATTTTTTTTCCTGGTTGTGCGAATTATTCTGTGTTACTTCTGAAGCCATACGATAGCTTAATGTGAGCTACATATGAATATTTAAGTCCTTACATTAAAGTTCACACAAACTCTTTTCTCCGCTGTGGCTGTCAGTCATTCGTTCAGCCTTTAAACCCTGGTCGCATTCGGTTACAGCAGTCAGCTCGGTAAAGCTCTCTCCAAGATAATTCTGTGTTCCAATTATACTTGATTTGTAAATACATGTCTATGATTTAGCAAAAAGGACTTTATCTTCTTGCCGGAGTTTAATGTTGTTTTGTTGCTACCGGGTGTCTGTGAGAACAAAACACGGGCGTAGAAAAGACTAAATAGTTTTTAACGTGCACAGTAACTGAAATGTAAAACTGTGAAAAGAAAGGCTCAATAACTGTTGCACAAATATAATACACTACGCATACATTTCTCTTCCCTTTTTTGCTATGCAGTTTTTAACACTAAGCGCTTACAATGTGCGCATCCGGTGTGCAGAATGATGCACTTGAAGCAACACGGCGTCAGGCTGTAAATATACATAGGCCTATATTTTTTCATATTTGTTTATTTTATTTTTCTTTATAATGAAGTAGTCTGTATCTAGTAGATTGTGAAAGAATGATTATCAGTTCCACACACAGAGATATATAAATTATACATTTATTTAAATGAGGGGAAAAAACTTCACTGGTATCGGCCAATACCGAACCCTAGTTATCGGAGGCGAAAAAGGCGGATCGGAGCATCCCTAATCACACAACTGTATAACACAATTCTGTGTCATTCCTGACTGGATCGAGCGATTTGCACTGTTTATCTCTTATAAATCGTGGTGCGGGAGACTGATCCCGCTCTGCTTTAACGTGCGGCTGGCAGATGCACCGGGTAGCGCCGCTTCACACTTTTGGAGTACTTGCTTTTTGCAGTTTCGTGTGGGCTGTGATTTAAAAACAGCGCCTAATGTGAGGTCTCCCTTGCTTCGGTGATCGGCCCACGGGGAATGTCCCGGTGCTCCTGATGGCCAGTAGCTACATCGCTGGGTATGTTCAAGTAAGCTAGATATGCCCAGATGCTGAGGAATTAGGCTTATTTAATATATCATGATGAGTCTCGAGTTCAGTATTTACACTAAAATAAAAAAAAGGGGAAGTCGTGGCCTAATGGTTAGAGAGTCGGACTCATACCCAAAGGTTGCGGGTTCGAGTCTTGTACCGGTAGGGATTGTAGGTGGGGGGAGTGAATGTACAGCGCTCTCTCCCACCTTCAATACCACGACTGAGGTGCCCTTGAGCAAGGCACCGAACCCCCAACTGCTCCCCGGGCGCCGCAGCAAAAAATGGCTGCCCACTGCTCCGGGTGTGTGTTCACGGTGTGTGTGCATTTTGGATGGGATAAATGCAGAGCACTAATTCAGAGTATGGGTCACCATACTTGGCCACATGTCACATCACTCACTCACTCACACTCACTAAATCTGCGCAGATTTGGCTTACATGAACTTCCCCAAGAAATTAATTGGTGAACATATTTTACGAAAAGTAACCCGCCAAATTGGCTAGTGATTTGACAGCATAACCCGCCATAGCTGATTTTTACCCGCTTTTGGCGGGTGTTAATTTCAACCCCTGTATGTAGTGTTGCTTTCGTCAACAAAAATTATGACTAAATATCGTCTTCAACGAACCTTTATCACGTGACGGAGACGAGACGAAAATGCTGGTCATGTGACGATGACTATAATTAAATGTATAATGTAATATCGTTGACGAATAAAAACGAGACTAAATGTGGTTTACAAAATAAAAACTATGCTAAAATGTCTCTTCATTTTCGTTGACCAAAACGAGACGAAACGAAATGTTATAACGTTATTTCGTCTCGTTTACTCGCGTTATTATTATTATT